AGCATCCTCAGGGCGGAGGCGGATAGGCTGGAGCGGCTCTGGAAGGGGGATGCCTACCCTGCTGCTCCGTGGCAAGTGAATCATGCTGATAGGAAGCCTGTCCCCCTCTCCACCCCAGATGAGCTGAGGAAAGTGTGTGCTGCTTTTCAGGTCTAAGACGTCCCAAACGTTTGACGGCTTCCATCCCCGTCACTATCTGATGTGCTCTGGCCAGCAGTTGGGAATCATCGCCAGGCTTCTTAGATGTATCGAGCAGCACGGGCAGTTTCCCTCTGTCTTGCAGGCGGTTGTCACATGTCTCATACCCAAGCACAAGCCAGGCGCGGTCAAGTTTCGTGGTGTCGGTCTGTGCGTGTCTCTGTATCGTGTGCATGGCAGGCTACGTCAGTGTGTTGCCCGCTCATGGGAACGATCTCATCGGATTCGTTGCTTGTGTCACCAGAAGGGTGTTTTCATTCTCGAGCCCGCGTTCGTGCAAAACTTCAAGGCTGAAGCGGCTAGCATGTCGGAGAAGAAGATTCACACGTCGGCCGTGTTGTATGATATGAGTAGTTTCTATGACCATATCAACCTTAGCCTTCTCTGGACCAGGGCCGAAGACACGGGGTTTGACACGCAGGTCCTTGCCGTGATCTGCAACATGTACCGTGCGAAAAAAAGGTTTTTCCAGATGGAAGGTTATGCATTGGAAGCCTCCTTCCCTATGCAAGGCATTTTGCCTGGGTGTCCGTTCGCTACTTTCCTGGTGCAGGTTTGTTCCTATGGGCCAGTCTTAAAGCTCCAGCAGGTCTTGGGAACGTCTGATCTTTTCCTCTTCATCGACGACTGGGTGATTCCGAACCAAGATTCGGACCCCAGATCCCTTGGCACTAGAACTGTCGAGAGCCCGGCCCAGGTAATCCAGTTGACCCAGGATGACTTGCAGTGCGCAGTTGCTTATGATAAGTCTGCTGTCGGTGCCTCTTCGGACAGTATCAGGCATGATCTGGCCGTGCCCATGGGGAAGTACATGAAGTCCAAAGAAATCCCAGCTGCAAATCTTGGTGTGGACACCGCGGGGGGCCAGCTCAGATGTCGAAGAGGTGCTGCCCGTTTCTTGAAAGAAAGAATCAAGAAGGTGAGCCGTCGCAAGCGAAGACTAGCAGCCATAGGGAAGGGAGGTACCAACATGCAGAGGGTGTACCCCGCAGGTATCCAATCCTTCGGGTAATATGGGGCCGAGGTGGTGGGGTTGGACGCAAGGGAAGTTGCAGCAGCGCAGTCTTTCTTCTTGCAGACGGTCGGAAGCACGTGTCCATCCAGGTCCCGCACGTTGTCGCTTCTCATTCTCCAGGACCCCACCTACAGACTTGCCCTGGGACCTGTCATCACCTGGGCGAACTTGGTTTGGAGAGCAGCGGCCTGCCCTGGATTCGAACCCTCGCTGCCACGGCCGAGGGAGTTTGCCTCGAACATCCTGGCAAGGCCGCCGAGAGCTTGGAACCAGGTTGAAGGACCTCTCGGAGTTGCTGCGGTCTCTCTGCTGAGAATTTCCTGGAGGTTTGCGCCCCCCTTCGCATTGGAGGACCACGAGGGTCAGGAAGTTGTCCTAACTAGCACGTCTCCCGCCAAAGTTTTTCGTGATCTCAGAGCTGCGTGGATGCACATGCTGGCGGCGAAGGCCGCTAGCAAGTTCGGACACCCTGGAGAGATCCTGGACACGACTGTCTGTTGCCAACTACTCCCCCCTGGAAGTATCCTGTCGCATGCAGAGAAGTGCATGTTGAAAGCGTTTGTTGCACAGTGATTGTGGTCCAAGTGGCGCCTTGCCAGATGTGGTTATGATGTGGAAGATATGTCATGTCCTCTGTGTGGTTTTTCTATGGATGATCTTCACCATCGCCTGTTTGCCTGCTCTGCTACTCTCAGTGTCAGGGATGAGTATCTGAAGGACTATGTTTTGGGTTACATCTCCCGTGAAGATAAGAAGAACCTTCTCATGCTTGGCTTCCAGTTGGTTCCTGAGAGCATTCTGAGTCCGCCCGATGGCCTGGGGCATGAGAGTTATACCTTCTCCTGTGTGGACCCCAACCTGACCCCCTTGGAGGCGTTCAGAGACAATGTGTGCTTTCATGACGGGTCCTGTTTCAAGGAAGGTCGCAAAGTTCATCACTGCGCTGGTTGGTCATGTGTCTGTCTCCAGGAGGATGGGGGACCTTTTGCTATCATATCGGGCAGGGTAGGGGCCAAGCTGCCACAGGCGAGTCCTGCTTCGGAGCATGTTGGGTTTCTGGCAAGCTGCAAGCATGCTAGCTCGGCGTCAGAATTCTGCACGGACTACAAAGGGCTCATGGCAGTGAACGAAAGGCCCTTTGAAGTGGTTGCTGACAGAAGGTCGCATTATGCTGGGCCCGTTCTCCTTGCCCTGAGCCACCTGCCCAGGAAAGAGGCCATTGCCATCACCAAAGTGAAAAGCCATCAGAGTGCTGATTGCTTCGAGCCTTTCTCTGTAGATTGGTTTAGGGCCAAAGGAAACCACTGGGCTGATGTGACTGCAAAGGCGGCTGCGATGACCCATTCCCGTCCGTCGGAGAACGAGGTTTTTGAGTTTAGTCTTGAAACGTCCAGCCTCAGAAGTTTTCTGATGTATGCGGCCAAAGCCCTGTTGTTTTGGTCACGTCTTGCGCCTGCCAGGACCAGCAGCCGTCTGGGAAGGGTAGGTGCCTCTCGCGCTGGTGCAGCCAGTGCCGCCACTGCTGGTGGCACCGCCGCCCGTGCCGCCACCGTCAGCGCTGCCTCAGAGGTGCTGGGCGTGGCTGGCCGGGGAGAGCAAGGCCCCTCTCTCCCTCGGGGTGCCCCCCGCCCTCCCACTGTCCCTGCTTCCGCTGGGGCCACTGCGGGTCTGTATGCTGCCCCTGCTGTTGGCGCGGCGCAGGCGCCCCAGAGGAGGGATCGTGGCCACGAATTCAGGTGGATTCGTGGGCTGTGGGCGTGCACGCGTTGTCTTGCTCGCGTGCGTTCGGACCCTCCGCAGCCTGCTGCGGACTGTATTGGTTTTAGCCCTGTGTTGTGCGCCCTTGTGCAAGAGCCTCAGGGGCACAAAATTCACCTGACGGGCACCCCTGATAGGGTCACCCTTTTCTGTTGCTTGGACTGTGGCAGTGTTTCTGAGGGGGTTAGGCTTGGTGGGTTGGCGAGGGCCTGCAAGGGCGGGCCCTCTTCCAGCCACACACGAAGCAACCTCTCTCGGCTTAGAAGAGGAGAGGCATCCATCCCAATAGTAGGGATGTGCTGCTTGACGAGCTTGTGCCTCTTGCTGACTTTACGCGTGCTGTGGACGGCAGTGTTTCGGCTTCGACTGGTGAGGTGAGGGGTTAGTCGCTGGCGCCCTCCCTCTGGGTTTGGGCTGTTGGTGATTTCCTCTCCGTCTTGCTGGTTTTAGCCCTTGCGATGCGACGTGTCAGATCAAAACTCCTCCTCCTCCTCCTCCTCCTCCTCCTTCTCCTCCTCCTTTACCTCCTCCGGATCTAGATGTAGTAACTAGCGCTACCTAGCTCTGGTCAGTGCGGAGTGGCACCGAACTAGGCCCAGCAGCTCGATCGATACATCGGGCGACCAGGCTGGATAGCTGCATTGGGGACTTCTCTTCGCCTTCTGCCCCTCCCAAGGGGAGGAAACGGGGCTCGGACAGAGCGCCGCGGATGGATCCGGCGCTGCTGGGAGAGAACTCGTGCTCCGGCGCGAGGTCTGCACGGAGCGTGTCTTGACTTGTTTCCGACGGGAAGAAGGCCGCTGCAGAGGAATAATTTTAAATACCCCAAAATATGCAAAAATAGCCAAACAAGATTCAAACATCGTCCCCAGACGATTCTGTTGACTAGTGTTGAACATTCCTCCTGTAGAGGGACATGCCCGACTGAGGTGGAGCACTGCGCATCCAGGGGCGCTGCTGGATTTGGACGGAGCGAAACCATTTCCACGAGCCTTCTCTCGCAGGACGGCCCGTCTGTGTGGCTGGGCGCCTCAGCCCCGCCCGTGCGCACGGCAGCTGAGGTAGCTCAGTGGCTTCACGATTGCGCCGCCGAGCTTGTCATCGTGCCGCTGTGTCCGCTCCCCTTCCCCCTCCCCCCTGAAAAAGAAGACGTGGCCTCGCCCTCGGGCGAACAAAAGAAGACGTCCCTCCCCCTCCCCCTCCTCCTCCCCCCTAAACAAGAAGACGTCCCCTCCTCCCCCTGCTCCTCCCCCCTAAAAGAAGAAGAAGAGGAAGAAGAAGAAGAAGAAGAATCACATCTTGTTCCTCGGGTCCGTGAGAGTCGGTTGGACTGATCCAGCGCTGCTGCAAGGCCCCCAACGGGATCTTGCGCGAGGCTCGGGTCAGTTCCCGGCGGAAGGCGGCCTCGCCCCAGCTCTCCGAGTGATGCCGTGCGACGGCAGCTGGTGTACCTCTTAGGGAGCGAGCCGCCCCGGCCCAGGTCGGGCCTGCGGGGCGCCGGAGTGCTCGGGCCTCGAGGGGGGGCCAGCAGCGGAGAGCGGCCCGTAGCTTTTTGTCGGGCCTGTCCCCCATCCAGGGGGATTTTCACGAAAAATTTTAATAAATACCCCCAAAATAGTCCAAAAATACGCCAACAATAATCTGGGGACTATGTTTTGAATATTTGTTGACCTGTTTGGAATATGTTTGGGGTATTTTCATTTTTTCGTCTAAAATCCCCCTGTAGGGGGGACACGCCCGACATAACCGTAGCTGGGCCCTGGCATTGGCGCGCGCGCGCAGGCGTTCCACCCGCGCCCCCGACCACCGACGTGCTCCCGGCGGTCCTCGCACCCCTTGAGCGCGCCCGTTGTGTTATTAGGAGGGGGGAGCGCTTAAGGAGCTGATGTCCGTTCCCTTTAATTGTTCCTTTGAATTTCCCTTTAATTATCGGGAACGCCTTAAGCGTTCCCCCCTCTTGTAACACAACGGGCGCGCTCAACGCACCCCCCTCCCGCCTCCGCCGCCGCGCGAACTGCGGCCGCCGCAGTGCATGCTTCGGCACCCCGGGCGGTACGAGGGCCAGAAGCGCTTCTGCAACACGACGACGTCCCTCTGCGAGGTGCCGCGCGCCGGCCTTTCGGCGACAGCGAGAGGGCGGCGGAGGGAGCTCGGCTGGGCGTACGAGTGGCCTTTCGCCGGAGTGGCCTCTGTGAAGGGGCCCTGGGACACACACATAAATACACACAAATAAAAAGATTCCCCATATTTTCCCATATTTTCTTGGCTTTTGTCTTCCCCCCCACTTCCCATATTTTCCAACATTTTCTTGGGAATCGACGATTCATTGTGTCTGTGTGTTTTTTCCCCGGTGGACTTTGGTGCGGGCACAGGTGGGCCCCCAGATGGCGGAGCGCGAAGCGGTGTAGCAGCGGCCAGCGCGCCTGGATTGGGGCTCTCCCCGCGGCCCCCCCCCAAAGCCGCGCACCAGGGGTCGCTCTTGCCCAGGGGTCACTCTTGCCTATAGCCGAGGAGCGCGCGCGCGCGCCTCTCGACGAGTGTCGCTCGGGCGCGGCGGCGGCGGTGGAGGCGGCGGCCCCGCGGGCAAGGCGCCGAGACAAGGACCGCCCGCGGGCTCGGGAGGGGCGCGGTGTCTTTGGGGGTCGTTCCGGAGGTCTCCAGCCCTCCTCGAAGTCAGGCGCAAAGTGTAAGTCGGGCCCGTCCCTCTACAGGGGGGGAAGATTCAAATAGTCCAAAAGTAGTGTGGGGACCATTTTGGACTCTTTTGGGGTCTTTTTTATTCTTCGTCGAAGCTCCCCCCTGTAGGGGGACACGCCCGACATAACGCAACGTTTGTATCCAACCCCCTCGCCCCCGGAATTTCAAGATCGAGGGACGCGCGCAGCGCGGCTCGCGGGGTCACGACAGAAGAAGGCAGTCGCCGGTCTCGGCGTCAGCATTGAAATCGGGAGTCCGGGGGCGTCGCGACGTCGTCGGAAAAGCTTGAGTTTGATTTCGAGGAGGGACGTAGGTCGGGGAGACTCTTCATGACCGAGGCTCGCCGTGGCCAGAAAGGCCCCTTCGTTCCTTCTTCGGCTCTCTTTGTGGTACCACGGTGACTGTGCACCGCACTTGGTCCGTGACAGCCACGCCATGCGCGGGAGCAGGTCGCTGAGCGAGCGGGGGTGTGACGATTGAGCATCTGGTGCAATTTTCCCGCAGCGTCGTCCTTCCCAGGGAAGAGATCGCGGAGCGGGGAAAGAATGAGTGGACACTCCCCTTCCCCCCAAACTCAAAGTTGGCACGCGCGGGGCAGACTGCGGTCGAAGTGCAACGCATGCAATCCGCCGCCAACATTGTTCATTGACGGGGGGCATTGACAGATGAATGTGGCATGAGTGTTCGCTCATCTCTTCCGAGGCCCGGAGCATACAGGCAAGGCGCCGACATGAGGACCGCTTTTGGTGCGGAGGGGGCGCGCGGCTCCTTGGGTCACGCTGTGGTTGCTGCTCTGGCCCTCCTCCTCGTGCACCGTGCTGGTGCCAAGAAGGGGGCCCCCGGTTCCTGAGCTCTGGCGCGCCTCCTTGCAGCAGCTTGACAGCATGTAGCCCGGGCGCGCGCCGCGCGCCGCGGGGCGCGGGGCGCGGAGCGAGCATCGAGGAACAGACCGTCGCATGCGGTCGGTCCGCGTCGTGTTGACCTGCGGCGAGCCCACCAGCGGCGTTCAACGTTGCACGCCGCGGGCGACCCAGAATCGGTCGATGTGGAAAGATCTGACGTTTCGGAACTGGACGATCGTTCAAGGTTGAACGATCCCCGCGGGGTCAGGACTCAACGCCAGGGTCGACACGACGCGAAGCCGCCGTAAGCATCATGTTCCGGAGGTTCGCGCGGAGTTCGTGGATCGGCGCTGGAGCCCCCTGGCGGCGCCTCCGGCGCCGCCCCTGGCGCGTTCCACGCGCCACGGAGGAGGCCCCCTTGGCGCCGACCTCCGAGAAACTCCGAACGTCGATGCTCATGCCAATTTGTTTTGTTCCTCCAGAGCAGCTGGGCGGCCCACGAGAATCCCATGTGTCTGCCCCATTGGGGCCGTGGCACGCCCACGAGGCGGTCATGGGCGGGCACCGGCCGGATGGCCAGCAGCACACACGGGGCGCCCGCATGCGGGCAGCGGGCGAGAGCTTTGCAGCGCGTGCCGGTCCCTCAGCAGTCAGCAAGGTAGGTAAACAGTGGTTTGTTCTCGCGATTCCGTGAGTCGCTCGCATGACAAGGACGAGTCGTTCTCGTGATGCGCGAGGGTTGTTCGTATGATACGAGAGGGTGGTTCTTGCGACAGCTGTTCTTCGGGCAGCGCGGGCTGTTCTTGTGACACGTCTGGGTCCCCCCCCTTGTGTAGGCATACCAACGCCTCGTCGCCAGCAGGATTCTGGGAGTCCGTCCGTGTCTGCCGCTGGGGCTGAGCCTGCTCCTGACAAGGGAGGCAGATCGGGGAGCCCGTTCTGCAGTGACGGGGTCCAGAGACCCCAGGCCCAGAGACGCCCAACATCAGGAGCGCAAAAGGACGTGCGGTAGGTTCGTGTCGTGTCGACCGGCGGCGACCCCGCCAGCGGCGTTCGACTTTGAGCGCCGCGGGCGACCCAGAATCGATCGATGTGGAACGATTTGGACGTTTCGGAATCGGCCGGTCGTTCAAGATTGAACAATCCCCGCGGTGTCGGAAGCCAACGCCGAAGTCGGCACGACACGAACTTGACGTACACGTACATGAATCCACGTTGGTTTCGAGAGTACTCGTTGCGGGAACGTTCGTATTTTGCGGCCGGCCTCGCGGATTGGGGGGGCGTGTTCATGTACGTGGTTGTTGGGCGCGTGCGTCGTTTGTGGGCTCATTGCACAATCTCGGCGTGGAAGGTCTGTGAACCTCCCCCTCCCCCCTGCAAAAGCAGCGCAACTCTTCCGACACCCCCAGAGCACCCCACGGAAAGCCCCCCCGAATGCCCCGAATCTTCCCCCGAGATGCCAGAACTAAGTACAATTATCAACGGTCGCCGATGTCGTCGACGACGACGACGACGAAAGCTGCATGACTTGTGCAGCCCGTTTTAGTAACCCTCCCAGCCGCACAAGTGAGCCCCCTCCCTCTCCCAACCACCCTGGCTGCCCTGCGTGGGCTGCCCACTCTCCCGCATCTGCGCGGCCGTCGGTGCGCACGCGCATGTCGCAGAAACGGGAGAGGGATGGCATCCCTCAGATCCGGGCGTCGCGACAGAATCGCGACTTCCCGTTTCTTCACGTCTGCTACCTCTGGCGGCCGCGTCCCGGCTCGGGGTCAGGCAGGCGCAGGATGAGGGGCAATCGCTCCAGGGCGTTCTGGTGCGCTCTGGGAAGGCCGCGTCGCCCGATGCGCCTTCCAGCCCCGCCAAGCCTCAGAGAGTTCCGAGCTATTCCCATCCGAGCGAATCCCGATGTGGCCTTCGTCTGCTGGGGGCCGTCAAGCGTTTCTTAACGCCACAGCGCGGCAGAGGCGATCCGCACGCGCGTCTTGTGCGAGACCAAGGGCTGGGGGCCGTCAAGCACGATGCGGCATAAAAAAAGCGGTTGGGAGAGAGATGCCCCGAGCTCCAGAGGCCCGCGCCACGAGCAAAACAAAAAGTGCAACTGGCGCGGGGAAGGATGGGCGGCACGCACACAAGAGGTGGGGGCGAGGGTCAGGAGAAACAAAACGCACAGACACAAGTAATCGTCGAATTCAAGGAAAGTGGGGAAATATGGGAAGTGGGGGGGAAGACAAAAGCCCAGAACTTATGGGAAAATATTGGGAATCCTGTTATTTGTGTGTATTTATGTGTGTGTCCCAGGGCCCCATTCAGACTCATGAGTCAGAGTTATGATGTTCCAACCTACTTGAGCCCCGATCACCGAACAAAAAGTTCGTGCACCAAGAAGGTACCGAAACTGGAGAGATGCTTCACGTGTCGTGCCCTGGGAGGCGATACTCGTTCGGCACTGTTTCGGCACTCTTCTGGGTGCTCGAAATGATTGCTGGCATGCGGTCCTGAAGTGCGATGGGAGCAACATGAGATGGGGGACTCGTGAGTCAGAGGAGGAACACGGACCACCGCCACCGAGAACCCAACGGTGAGGGGGCGGCTCCCCTGCGTGGTGGCACGCCCATGAGCGCCATCGTCTTGTGTTGGGGTGGCGCGCGGGCGTGCCACCGCCCGGGCGTCGGCCCCCCCCCCCACGGATGGATTCTCGGCGGTGGTGGTCCGTGTTTCTTTTCCGAATGAGAGGTCGTTCGGTACGGTGGGTGGACCAAAGGTGTCCACGCGTGTCTCGCCAAGACCTTGAGTCATCAAAGCACGTCGGGCTAGAATGTAGACACTTCACTTCGCCCACATCCAAAGCTGACGGGTGTAGGCGGTAGGCCGCGGGCCAGGGACAAAATGTGGACACTTCGTTTTTGGTTTCGGGAGTAGGGGTGCGAAGCAAGGGCATTTCCCAGTTGTGGTTGTCATCATGTTGCATCGCCTTACCGCCGTTGGTGTGGACACTTTGTCCGGGCGACGTAGCAAATCATGGAAGCCTGATGTACCCTCTTAATTCTTCAGCGTCGACTAGCGTCGATTCGCGTCTGGGAGTCGATGAGATAGCGTCGATTTATCGTCGATTTGCGTGGATGTAGCGTCGACTAGGGTCGACTTAGCGTCGACTGGCGTCGATTCGCAAGAGCCGACAAGATGGTATGGGAGGCTCCCATGAGTTGCCACCGAAAAGTCAGGGGGGATCCAAGAAGCTCCCCAGCCCTCTTATAGAAGTCTTCTCCGAATCTTTTAACCCCTCCAAGCCCCCCCCTTGCTTCGTGGATGCCCGCCCCTCTCGCACCCCTTCGGCCTTGGGAAGAGTGTGTGAGAGCGTGTGCGGGCGAGCCCGCATGCAACGAGCGCAGGCACAGCTCGCATGTGGGGCGTTCCAGAAGGGGCCTCGGTTTCGAGGATCTACGGAGCTGTCATCCCTTCCTCGGCGGAAGGCGGTGGAAGGTCGGCGGAAGCCGGCGGAAGTAAAACGAGGCCACCTCCGCTGGCGGAAGCCAGCGGAAGGCTTGCGGAAGTCAGCCACGCACAGAGGGGGGTGGGGGGAGGGGGAGGGCTTCTTAGAAGCACCCCTGCTTCTTAGAAGGCGCAGGCCTTCTCTATAGATGTCAGGCCGGCGCCTTCTAAGAAGCAGCCTCCCTCTAAGAAGCCCTCCCCCCTCCCTCCACCCCCTTGTGCGCGCCGCCAAGAGATGACAACGCCTTTTGCTTTCAGGGCTTCCTGAGCCCGCCACGTCACGAGCGCAAGTGGGCGCGTGGAAGTCCGCAGCCGAGCTTCACCGACAGGCACAGCCCGCCGACCGAGCCCCCACGAGGCCTCCAGCCTGGGTGAGTTTGCCGTCGCGGCCTCGCCGAACCTAGGATGGACCAGCCCTTAAGCAGTGGCGAAGCGTCCTGGTTCGCCTATAGGCCCACCAAAGAGTGTTCTAAGAGCCTTTTGTGGTCTGCACGAGATGTTCTTAGGACATATCTGGCCGAGATTGGTTTGTTTCAACACATCGGGTTTACGTTCTAAGAAAATTGTTTTTTCCTCGGAACATTTTGGGTTCTAAGAACATGTAGTGGTGGGCCTATGGGAATGCCGGGACGGTCGGTCCCTGCTCAACCTTCGCTTGTGACCGCATCCAAGCGACTACGCCGCACGCGGCTTGCACAGTGCCTCGACACAGTTCTCTTGTCGGCGTCTGTCGCAGAGTCGCGACTGCGCCTCCCTTCGGTGCTCTGGCCATTTCCTCCCAAGGCAATCACTCGCCATGTGCTCTCTCGGCCGGCCCCCGCTGCACTCGCCTGGGAGTGTCCCGCGGAGCTCTCTTCTCACGAAGGCGTTGGGTCCTCGTCAAGGGTTACGTCGGGCCTGTCCATCTACAGGAGGAATATCAAAAAATAGTTAAAGATAGTCGGGGGATGATTTTTTCTCACCATCCCTGACTACTTTTGAGCATTTTGGGGGTATGTATTATTTTTCGTCCAAAATCCGCCTGTAAGGGGACACGCCCCACCTAAGTCAAGGGTCAGGGCCTCCTTTCAACGTGCTCGGTCTTCGTAAGCTTCCGTGGGGGTCAAGCCTCGGAGCTCCTGCGCAGGACAGGGCACCGTGAGCAGGTGAAGATGCACGGAGGAGAGACCCCAGGGGATTCCGTGCCACTGGCAAGGCTGTGAGAGGGCGTCCTCCCCTCGACGGGTCAGACATGCCATGTCTTCAGGAGGGGAAAAAACACACAGACACAATGAATCGCCGATTCCCAGGAACATATGGGAAAATATGGGAAGTGGGGGGGAAGACAAACATCAAGAGACTATGGGAAAATATAGGGGGAATCATTTTCTTTGTGTGTATTGATTCGTGTGTCCCAGGGCCCCACTCACGTCCATCCGCGTCGGCACACGGCGAGTTATCACTCGCAGGGCAGCGCTGGGGCGCAGGGCGGGCGGCGCGCGCCTCCCGGGCGTGAAGGGTGGCGTCCGGCCAGGTGCTGGCGGAGAAGCGCAGCGACGGGCACCACATCGAGGGACCGCCGTGCTGCCTCGCCGCACACTTAAGGGGGCCACATGCGAACCCCACCCCTACCCCCCGCGATTTCTGAGGGGGAGGGTGGGGTTCGCATGTGGCCCCCGAACACTGCTCCTCGGAGAGGCACCGAGCGCAACGGACCTCCGCTTGGAGAGGCTGGTGTCAGCATTGCCAGTCTCGCGACGCCTCCAGGGCTCTCGGCGCCCATCTCGCGTCCTCCTTCTTATGCTACTTCTGCGTCCTGCGATCCAGAGCAACCACCGTGGGGGGAGGGGCACTGGGAAGCAGCACGACGGTTGTTGTCGCAGAGCGGGAATGTCATGGCACCCCGCCCCTATCAGCCAAAAAAGTAGGTGACCAAAACACATCGGTAACGAAAGCGTACCCGAAGTTGTGACCGAAAACGTCTTGTGACCGAAGTTGTGACCGAACCTGTGCATCGTCTTGACTTCGAATTGAACATTTCGGACACATTCGGGCGCGGTCGAAAAAATTCGAGCGCCAGTTTCGGTCACACTCGTGCAGATTCTCGGACACAGCCTCGGTCACGACGGCTCCGTGATAGAGTCGAGGCTACGCGAGGAATTTCGAACGGAATGGAACAGCCGCATAGTTTGTTTCGCGCATGTTGCCCGGGGATGGGAAGGGAGGAAGGAGGCGGAGGATGAGGGACGGCAGCAGGGGAGCGATAGAATTAAATCGGGCACGTCTCTCTACATGCGGAATATTCAAACATAGTCGAAGAAAATATGGGGACGAAATTTTGAATATGTTTGATCAATTGGATATTTGTTGACTACTTTTCATGTGTTCATCCATAGTCTCCCTGTAGGAGGACATGCGCGACCTAACGATAGGAGGAAGAGATGGACCGAGGAGGAAGAGGATGAGGATACTACTGTAAGGAGGGAGGAAGGGAGAACGAGATGATTATGTTGATGATGATG